TAGAACAGGACGCAGGGACGTGTCGGTAAGGTATATCAGCCGTGACATAGCCTTGATCCCACATTCAGCTCACAGGGAAACCAACATCTGCTCTCTGTAGGAGTACATAGCACATCTCAGGGCTGGTCACACGGAAACACCCAACATATGACTTTAAACAAACTTTATCATACAATAACTCCATGCCAACAGCTAATTTATGCCAACAGCTACCAAGCAATATGCAGCGAAAGTTCGAATTTCAGCACGAATTCATACAGAGGCCAAGCACTCACAGTACAAACCGTTTCCTTTCCGGTAGGCGAGTCTCGCCAATTTAACATCAGCATAACTGTGAGGTCTCAGCACTGGGCCGCATGCTAGGCACCTCTCGCAATGTATGTACACAAGCAGTACTAGGTGTTTCCTTGTCTAACATATTTCACCAACGGGAAGATTTAAAGTTTTCTAATTAGCAGAAAACAGATAGCATTGAAACTATTTGCCAATGTTTTAAGCAGTATATATGGGTTAGGCTTGTTGCTCTTGTGGATAAAACTAAAAAATCCACTACCCATTCACCCATTCAGGAGATACGCATTTTTTCTGTTTGTTATTATGAACTGCTACAATTGTACTCCACATAACTGCAATTCATGATTATGTGTGTGTGAATGATTTTTTTTCACCTGTGATCTAACTCTGGATGTAATGCATTATTTTTATTTGTTGGTGTAAAATGAACTTTAAAACAAAAATGCAACAATAAATATTGTTGTTTTGCTCCGCATCTGTCGTTGTGCTTTCATTCATATCTTTTAAGATTCCTGGCTTACCTGTCACATGGCATGTAGAAATACACATATATAACCAATCATCAAACAGAATAGTCAATTAATATTCAAATTTAATTTAGCTGATTCCCCTTCTTAATTTCTTGTTTTTTAAGTGTCAGTGGTAGCTTGTCAGAGTTACTGATGGCAAAACTAGACTCCCCATATACTTTGAGAGTCTGTGTGCAGCATTACTGTGTGCACTCAAAGGAAAACAGATATATTATAACTGGTAAAGCTTTAAGGACAAAATGCATTGCAACTTGTATTACCTCAAAGTTAATTGTATAGCAGCTTCCTACACATACAATCCAAAGCAAAAAATGCAGAATTTACATTAATAATCCCCACAAATTATTTGAATTCATTATGCTGCCGATAATTTAAGCTTTCATTGTTTGAAGCTTGTCATTTTCGATGGAGAGAAATGCAATCATACATTGTAATTGGCGAAGTAATAATGCATTTGGTTCCTGCAAACGCAGAGTAATGCACAACAAAAAATATTCTGTAATTGGACACTAACAACTACGGGGGGAATCAGTATCTGTATAGGTAGGTTTGTGTAAGAGTTTGGAAAGAAAGCGTTCATTTGTGTCACCTCCAATTCAGCCATGAATTTGTCTGTTACGCGGGAAGCTCATGAATTAAGCCGCCAGAAGCTCTAAACGTGACGGTCTGCAGCGATGAGACGTGCGCGCATCAAGGTACTCACACACCTGCCTAATGATACGTTTTTTTAGTAGACATAAAAGGAGAAGAGGGAAGTTTCAAGAAAACATCTTTAATGGATTCTTCGCTGTACTTTGTACCTCAGAATACATGAAAATACATTTAAGTCGACCGTAAGTATGGCAATATATACACACATATAAACATGTATGTGGTGCATTTGAACATGTATATATCAATAACAAATGTACACTAAGTAAGTTTGTGCAAGTGTGTTTTATATATATCGCTTATATATAAAATCCCACACATACACACTGAATTGTACATGTGCACACACATACACATTCACACGCGCACTACTACAATTCACAAAAGATTAAAGCGACGCATTATGTTCTTAAAATTGAATTTGCATTAAGAGAGACCGTGGAGAAGACCTATACAGTCCACAATATTCTTCGAAGGAATTTAGCATCATGAGTTTACTCAGAAGTCAGTCAATATCCGGGGTTAGTGTGCTCTATCTTCCATACTCAATGATGTGTCTTATCAGATCTGTTGTTAATACTGTTCAGTGTAAGGACAGTCTTTTTGAGGTAGACTGTTCGAGTTCAAGGACAAATCTTTTTTAGTGTTTTTTTCCCTCCAATATTTTCTTTTTGTGTTTTTTTTTTTTAATCTTTTTTTTCCTTTTTTACAAATGCATGACATTCAGAGACAGAAAATAAATACTACATGTACAATATGTAGCAATGAGGTAGAGATGGTTATAACAATGCTTGAATATAAAATGAATAAGATAGATAACACACAAAAAAACAAAACAAAACAAAAAAAAAACACAAAAGAACTTCTTTTGCAGTTTTTGTACAAAAAAGGAACAGAAATAAGGGACAGAAACATTGGCTTGGAAATTAAAATTCAAGTGATTTGGTTGTGTGAACATTATATGAATGTGCTCATAACCTGGGTGTACAGGCGAGGGTTTTGAATCCCTTAGATTGTTGTCATTGTCGCCCCCCACCCCCCTAGATATTTACCAGTAGCTAAGCTGCTTTTCCATGTCTCTCTCTGAGTGGAGTGAAACCCCCCCCCCCCATGTTGGAGTACCAGCCCTCCTCGAACAGCAGAAGTATGAAGAGATAAATATAGGAACAGGAACAGTTTTTAAATTTAGGCTACATTTCAGAATAATGTAATATTTTTCCCCTCGTCTGTGAGCTTTTGGTTGGTGTAAAGTTTTATCACTTATGTGCTGCTCAGGGTTTTGAGGCCAATGTGAAATAAGGGTTAATG